TTTTTTTTTGTTTTTATTCTTAATTTCGTTATCAGTACGATTCGTTATCAGTGCATTATATACTGTTATCGCCCGTTATAAGTTATCTTTCATTTTATAACTACCGCATTTCAGACGGCACTCGTATCGCAGGCAGTACCTCGATAGAACACCTGTTGCAACTAGGTGACTTCAGGTTACGAATCAACGATTCCACTTACACAGTGACAGTGCCACCTTTAGAGAGGGGAATTTCATCGGTGAGAAATGCAATGTATCATTCAGTTCGGAAAGCTTTTTTTCGGTTCTTTACTCATTGCAGTATCATCATTTAAGTAGTCATTACATGCTCCTTTTAAGATTCTAAAAATATATTGCATTTCGTCGAAAATATAAGGTATACGACAAGATTCAATCGAAATGCTGTAGAGATTAGCTATGTAATCGAAGAGAGAAAAAGTCTGAAAGTAAACATAAACTTTTCATTTTGGTCATTAATCACGCTAAACTTACATCACGTTTTATGATGCTATATTCCACATCGTGCATTTTATGACCACAGCTCGAGAACATGTGTTGTTCTGATATTTTTAGCGTTTGTTCATTTATAAAAGAAACTCTGAAGTTGTTTAGTTCCGCTTGTTGATACTGCATAACTGTTTTTCAACTTTTTAATAGCAAACCAAAAAATTCTCAAAACTGGTGTATGCTGAATGATAGAACTCATCACTCAAAAAAGGCTATATAACTTTCAACGGTTCACCGAATCTGTTCCTGATTATTAACTCGGTATCATATGAATGTTTTTTGACCCGGAAATTGTCTCTTTATGCCAGAACAACCTTACTCATACTCGGATGTCGTTCTGTTCTTCCCGGATAAATTCTTACAATCATCGGCAACTTTTAGTTGATCGAGGTGTCATCCAGCGATAAATTACGAATTCTCGACGATTTGAAATCGAAAATAGCCTCATTGCATGCCATCTTCAATGTGGATGAATTTAAAGTTGAACGAGAGAGGATTCTGATAGAAAAGTTGGAAGAAGTTGAGCAGGAGCTGAAGCCTCTGGAAGAGGTCAGTGCTTAAACCTCATTTGGTTGGCCAGGTGACCTCTGCATCAACCAGATATCAGAATACTTGGCCAAGTTTTCGAGGTCACCAGAAAGTCATTTCGATGGTTTGAAGTAGCTGCAAATTGTCTGAATCTTCCGTATCACTTTAATGATCAAAAATTCCTCTAACTATCGGAGTAT